GCTCCCCAAGGAGCATTTCAGCTGCTCAGCTGGGGCTGAAGGGTGCTGAGGGGGACCCTTGGTGCCCCAGGATGCCACCTGCATTGGGGTCCCATGGGTGAGCAGATCAGGGACTGACAGAGCCCCTGGGGGTCCCCAGCTGGGTGACAGTAAGTGGCAGTACCCCCTCCATCCATCCTGGAGACCCTCAGGAATGTGTCCAACCCGGGGACCTCCTCCCAGTCCTTCAGACCTGGTATTCCTGGTAGAAACCAGGTGGAGAGGGAGAGCAGCCAGGGCTCCCTCGATGCTCCCTGGGGCTTGGTGCTGCTATCTGTGATCAAGTGATGCCATCTCCTGGAAGGAGGAGGGCTGGGAGGTCCCTAGGGCCAGGCTGCACGCAGCTGTCACAGGTGGAGCAGGGACACCATCCCATCAGCTCCTGCTCCCATGAAGGAGGCACTCAATATGGGAAACCAAGTCCTTCTATGTCCCCCAGCTTGCTCTGAAGCTCACCATGGTTTCCACAGGAGAGGGAGAAGCCTGCAGAGAGCCAAGCAGGTGTCTCCCCTTGCTTCCCTTTTCCCCCACAGCCTCCTGCCCCACCACCTCCACACTCCCTCCATCTCCTATTGCTGCCAAAGGCAAATCTGTGGCTTCAGACCAGCATATCCCAGAGCTACATGGCCCCACTCACATCCCAGCCCAGCCAGGACCTTTCACTCATTCCCTAGTTTCTGAATGCCCCAAGAGTAACCTCCCCTCTCTGGCAATGGAGACATCAGTGCAACCCTCTTGCAGAGGACAGCCCCCTGCCTCATCTGCCTCAGCCCCACTGCAGACTCCTGTGTGGCCTTTGGTGCCTGAACCACCCCTGTGCTGTCACTTGTGTCCCCATGCTGAGGAGAGTCTGCAGAGCTGGTCCCCAGAGAGACGGCTGCTGGACTGGGACAGCCCCAATGGATGTGCCACCAGTGCTGCCTCTCCCCTTCCAGGGCTCAGAGCTCCTCTTTGGGATCTGGATCAGCTTCTCTGGCAAATGCAAAGGCCACAAATATTGTGACAATCCTCAAGAGGGCACTGGGGACAGGGACACACGCTGGCATCCCTCATCACTTCCCAGCACGTGTGGGTGCTGCTCTCAGTGGGTTGGGGTTGTGACTCCCCCTGCACTGGTGGGGAGCATCCTGGTTTCACTCCCTCGCTGTGTTTCAGGCACGGAGCAAGCAGAGGGTTAACGATTCCCACATTAAGTGGCTGCAGATGTGTGGGAAAGTCTGGGGCGAGCGGACGGCATCGTTATTAGTATTCACCCAGGAGCCTGTCGCTGCCTCCCGGGGCTCTGCCGAGCACATTTAATACCGAGGTTCGTGGTGGGGGTTAGGAAGAGTGCGTGGGACGGGGTCGGAAAGGCCCCGAGGTGGGAAAGGCACTGGGATAACATCGTCTGCTGGCTGCTGCCTGCTCCGAGTGCCCCAGCCCAGGGGAGGTAGGGAACGGGCCAGCACCCACAAGGACACAGCACCACACGTGTGTATGGCCCAGTGCTACCTCCTGACACTGCTGGCACTCTGTGGTGTCCATGGCCAGTGTTTCCAGTGCTGCAGGAGCGTTCCCAGTGCTGGGGAATGCTGCAGGATACTCCCCAGCGTGCCCCCCTTCATGTTATGATTTGGCATGCAGTCACTTTGGAAGAAGCCCAGCACTTTATGCCTCCTCTTTTTCCCTGGGCACTGGTGTCACCCACCCTGGCAAAGCAGGACACACTCACATGGGGTACAGGCTCCTCTGGACACCAGGGCAGAGCTTTAGAGATGCTGGATGAAGCCTTGGTGCAGCTCCCTGCAGGGCTCAGGAGCTGGATCCAGCCAGGAGCAAGTGCTGGCAGCTGCCACAGCAGATGGGCTGCCCAGATGTGGTGCTGTGCTCCCTGGCACCCACCACTCCTCTCTTGTGGTCTGCAGCCTGACACCACTTCAGAGGGATGCTGAAATTCCTGGGCTGACTTAGAGTTGATAGAGGCTCTGAAAAACTGGAGCTGGAGCAAATCTGGCCCTCATCAAACCTTCAGAGAAGTGGGGTAGGCCAACATCTGCTGCTCCTTTCGTACTTGCCTGTCACCTGCTGGCACATGGTACATGCTGACCCTGGCCTGGCTGTTTCCACCACTGTCCTGGGTCACCTGGCTCTGGTCTCTCTCCTCCATGTCAGGCATGGGATACAGGCTCTTCTCTATGGTTCCAGCTCTTCCTGGGATGGCACAGGAGTTCAGAGACCTGCTTTGATCCACATGATGCCAGAGCAGACCAAATACCCTGGAAAGTCCTGCCTCAGTGTCTGATTTCCCTGCCAGAGATGCTGCACTACATGACCCCAAGCCCCCATTAGCACTTAATGATGCTTATTGAGGCTGGAAATCTCAGCTGAGAGGGGTCTGGCATCCCACACTGCAGCTGTCCCAGCCCCAGGGGGACCACTGGGTCCTGCAGCACCACAAAGGGGGATGCAGGCGCCAAAAATAGAGGTGAGCAATGAAGGGCTGATGAGGCTGAAGCAGCAGAGCTGCTGCCCTCCACCCACACACTTGCACAGGCGAGTTCCTCTGGCTTTGGTGCTTCCTCTGAGCTGGCCTTTCCCAGGAGCTGCCGTAACCCCAACGTGCTGTTCCTAAACAAAGTGTGCGGCTGTGGATGCTCCCTGGGGATGTACAGAGTGGGCTGACATATGCTTGCCGGGATGCTTTGGGCTCCCCAGGCTCTCTCAGCATCCCCAAACAATGAATCCTGGCCTTCGCTGACTGGGAGGTTTTGTTTGCCAGATTGCTCCTGGTCCCAGCCTGGAGTGGGTATTGGTGCCATCTGTTTGCAAAGGACAGAGGGAGAATATGTCCCATTTTAGGCTCAGGGTGCTCTGCCCTCAAGCATGGTCTGTGTGAACTTTTCCACCCCCTGCCCATCCCAGGTAGCCCATCCCCAGTGCAAGGAGCCCAGTAGCATTGCACCAGTGGGTTTCTCTCTCTCCCACTCTGTCTGGAGCAGTTATGTCCTTGGAGTGGGGACACTGCCAGGAAATAGCTTTGCTGAGCAATTCCCAGCAGCCCTTAGGTCCCCACACATGGACCCAGCAGACACATCTTTGTCCCTTGGGAAAAGCGTTGGGAAGAGCCATGTGCACAGCACGTCCCCTCTGCCGCCTGCCCCCCACACGAGCTGCTCTCACGCTCGCTGGCTCCATCTCTGCACAGCAGCCTCCCTCGGCCCAGGGAGGGGACACGGCCCCTGACACAGGGACACCAGCAGGTCTGGAGTTGGGGGATCCATCCAAACCAGGCCTGCATCCCTCCTGCAGCTATCCTGCTGCCAGGGCACGGAGCTGGTACACCAGCCCCAGTGGCACGCAGGGATAACCCGGGTGCTGCAGCCTGGCTCTCCTCACCCCCCACAGCTGCACAGAATAAACACCTCCCCTTTGGTTTTCCATAGATACAAAGACAACATGGAGATAATGCAAGATAAGCAGCAAATCTCTTGGGCTGGTCCAGCCAGGGAATCATTCCCAGTGGCCATTGTGCAGGCATTTACTAGCTTGGCAGGAGGGGATGAGGCTGCCTTGCAAAAAAGGCAGAAACACAGATTTCAGCAGTGTTGTCATTATGGGGTGGGCTTTTTAAATATTAGAAAGGAAAATTAAAGGAAGATGGACAGGTATCTTTTCAGGATAGCCAGTGCAGTTTTGCACTTTTTCTCATTTGGATCAGAGAGAAAAACACAGAATGGTTAAGGTTAAAAAAGACCTCTAAGATTATCGAGTTGAACCCACCACTGCCATCCTCACCACTGAACCATGTCCCCAAGTGCCACATCTAGATATTTTTGAACAGTTCCAGGGATGGTGATTCCACTACTTCCCTTTGCAGCCTGTTCCAATTCCTGACTACCCTTAAGCGTCCCTAAGATGAAAATGGTGGCAAGAACTCATGGGTCAAAATGCAGTTTTCATCCAAAGATGACCTGTCCCCTGTTACAGTGCCAAATTGAAAAAAAATCCCCTTCTGGACACATGATAAGGTTTTGCCTACTGAAAGTTTTTCAGAAACTCGATTTGAACTCATTAAGATGCTGTGAGGATTTGAAGCTGGTTCATCACCTGGATTCCATCCCCCCAGAGCAGTAGGGGTGTAGGATATCTGAGATGATGGCAGAGATGAGGTGATCTCTCCTGCCACCTCTGCAGCCCCAACAGCCCCAAACCCCGGCTAAACACACCCTCTTCTGCAGTGTCCCGGTTGCAAAGACCTTTAATTCCCCTTTTCTGAAAAACAAGAAGAGCTGCAAGGGTGCATTGGTGCTCCCCAAGGGGCAGTGGGCAGTCGGGGGTCAGGGGCCAGGAGCTGCAGTGCCAGCACAGGGAGGCATCTGGGGGGAATACACCGAGTCAGTTCAGTACAGGCCTTCTTTAATAAAAACATGAGTCAGCTGCTGGCGTGGGCAGTGGATTTTCTAAACATCCCCTCATATCCTGAGAAAGGGAAAAAAAAAGAAAAAAAAAAAAGAAAGAAAACGGGAGGGGGGGGTGGGGGGCTTGAGGGGAAAAAAGAGAAAGAAAATAAAAGAAAAAGAAAACAGGGAAAAAGGCCAGAATTGAAAGCAGACACAGGGAGAGAGCAGCTCCTTCCCTCTGGTTTAAGGAGGCGATAGTCGGGCTGGTCCGAGCTCCTTTTGTTCCCTGTTATCCGGGCCGTCATCGCCTGCCCCATCACAGCCCGCAGCAGAACTCCCCTCTCCTCGCAGCCGCTTTGGCTTCTCCTCCTTTTACATTTATTTATTTATTTTTATTTGATTTTCCCCCCATCGCACTGGTCCGCCGGGCGTTAATCTCCAGCTCTGCTCCGCCAAGGGTCCCCACGGAGGGTGGAGGGAGGAAGTCGGAGGAGCTCCGCTCCTCATTGGCGAAACAGCCTCCCCCCTTCTCCTCCTCCCGAGGTCTCTTTTATTTATACACGCACACAACACGCGTGCACATCCCCGGGCATCGCTCCGAGGAGCCTGAACCCCCTCCCGGCTGGGCTGGGGGCTGCCCAGGGCACTGCTGACATGCACTAGAGGAGCGGAGCAGGGGCTTGGCCGCAGCCCAGCCCTGGCACAGCCTCGCCTCGCCTCGCCTTTTGATTTTATTTTATTTTTTTTTTTCCCCCCCCTCCTCCCCTTCCACTTCATTTCTTTCTTTCCCTCTCTTTCGCCTTTAAGTGGGAAAGCCCTGCCGGCTGGGGAAGGCTGGGAGGGCAGGGAGAGCCTCGGCAGGCAGCAGATAGAGAGTGCGGAGGAGGAGAGGAAGGAATTTCGGGGACGTGCGGCGCAGGCACTCGGCTGGTGGGACCCTGCCCAAGGTAAGCTCTCGTCCCGGGGGCTGACTCGCCCTCCTGCTCAGCTCTGGCTCTCCAGATGGGAAATGTCCCTCTGGAGCTGGTACAATCCCTAAGGATCCTGTCCCTGAGCCAGCCCGTTGCTCTGGAAGGGGCTTTGCTCCCCTCCAAGGGGTTGGCAGCCTGAAATGCCCCACCAGGCTCTGGGGAGGTGGTGTTTGGTGGAAAGGAGCTGAATTCTGTGGCATCCCATGGGAAAAACCGTGCCATCAGCTCTCACCAGGTCCTGGACTGGGACGGCTGAGAGGAGCCCAGGGGATGCTGCTGCTGTAGGACAGGAAGGGGGGACCCCACTGCAGCGGGAGTAGGGCCCAGGTGATCTCTGCTTCTCCCTGGATCAGGCTCTGCAGGCTGGTGGCTGTGGGAGGGCTGGAGTGTGCGCGGGGCAGAGCCTGCTCTCCATGCCCAGCCAGACATTCTCTAGAGGTGTGAGTGTGCCCCGCTGCAGAGCAGGGTCACCCCACTGCCAGCCTGTCCAAACACACCCACGGCCATCCCTGAGTGCAGGCTGCTCCAAGGACCGTGTCACCTCTGCCTGTGGCCAGGGCAGGGCTCCTGTGCCTGTGGGCCATGGAGAGGGAGCCCTGCCCTGCCCAGGCTCTGTGCCTGGGAGTGCTGGGTACTGGAGAGGGCAGAGCTTGGTAAAACCCTGCTAGGCATGGATGTGGGCAACTACTCTGCTGTCCTGAAAGCACAAGAGCTCAGGGCCTCCAAGAGGGCAGAGCTGGTCTGGAGCAAAGCTCTGACAGCCCAGGGGTGAGCATGACCTGCAGGTCTTTGGTGCTCACTGTGGGCTCAGAGCATCCAGCTCCTGCACTCGCCTGCCAACTGAGAGTCATTCAAAACAGAATTTGTGGTGGAAGGAGATGTTGTGCTCCTCCGCCCTGGTCCCAGAGCAAGTGGGGTTTTTGCTGAAGCATGGGGAAAATAGCTTAAAGCAATTGGTCTGGTGTGCAAAGCCTGTGTTGGCAGAGGCTTGGCATCCCCAAATCTTTTCAGAGGGTCTCCCATTGATGACAAGGATTAGCAATGTTGAGACTCAGTACTTCCCAGGGGCCATTGAGGGGTGGGTGAGAGGGTCATTTCCCCATCAGTGCCCTGCAGGACAAAGTGCCTGTGCCTCCCATGCTCTTGGGAAAGGACTGAGTTTCATGTGGTCCCCATAAGCCAGTGTCAAGGACGTGGCTCTGCCTGGCAGAGGACGCAGGCCAGGCTGGCTTGGAGGGGGAGCTGCCAGGCAGCTGCCCTGGTTGGGTCTGACACGAGGCTTGGAGTCACTTCTTGACAAGGATGTCACACAAGCTTGGGTGTGCTCTGGCTGTTGTGGCAGCCACCAACCCCGGGCAATGTCCCTGAGCCCAGGAAAGAGCCCGAAATCAGGCGGTGCATCAGGAGGGAATGGTGTTTTGGGCAAGCACCAAGTCACAGCAACCCAATTGGTGCATGCACAGGGCTTTTCTCTCTTCGTAAGATCAGCTGTCCCTTCCTCCAGCTCAAGAGCATGGAGGGTCCTCGTAGAAGGAGCAGGCAAGGAGACAGCAGCCACTCAGTTCCCTGTCCCTGGATCACCTCCTGCATCTCTGCACAGAACTGGGAGCGTGGGGTTCCCGTGGTCAGTGTCAACACAAGCATGGGCAGCTGCAGTACTGCAGCCAGGGAGAAGTTAGCCATGGCTTATTATTCACAGTCCTGGGCACATCTTGTGCTGCAGAGCTCTGGCCTGGGCTTGGTCCTCTGCAATCCCTACAGGAACCACCTGGGAGGTGGCTGAGCACACATCCTACACCCTAGGATGGCACCAAGCTGGGTGGGCATGGGAGTGTGGGAGAATCCCAGGAACTCCAGCAGAGTCCAGAACCAACCAGAGTGGCTGTAGTGGACACAAACCAGATTGCAGCATGGTGCCAGGAGACCCAAGCTCTTCCCGAGGGATCTGCTGAAAGATGGATAGCTGGAGGCAGCTCAGAGAGGCAGGGTGGAGGGAATGGGTCCTCCCCAGCAAGCGACACTGAGTACTTCAGCAGGAATAGACATGGAGTGGGGAAGCTCAGGGACAGCAGTGAGGACAATGAGAAGTTCAGAAGAAGCTGCAAAGGACTGGGAGAGTGGCTGATGTGGCTCATTGGTCACAGGGTGTTGTGGGAAGGTGACACACAGTCTTCATACACAGGAAAAGCCATCACAGAGAGAAAAGAGCTTTTAGGGGAAATGTCTGTAGGATTAAAGACAGAAGGCTGAGTTCCTTCAGCCTCACAAGTCTCTAAGCACGTCAGGGAAAGCTCTGGCTGGGAAGACATGGACACAGCAACAGGACAATGACACCATGATCTCTTTCAGCCTCATTTTTGATGGGTCTGTGACAGGATTTCCAAGGCATTCAGAACGCTGTCAGGGAGAGGAGAGCACTGAGCCTGTCTGCAGAAGTAGAGCAAGACAGGATTGTCTCAGTGAACACCAGAGGAAAGCTGAGATTAAGAAATGCTCTCTAGCTATGGGAGTGATTCTGTGCAAAAAGAGACCTTGTTGGCTGGACATGACTTTGGCCAAATGTCCAGCTGCTGCCAGAAGCTCCAGGCAGGGACTTATCTGCCTGGTCTTCAAGGTTCCTTTGGTGTTGGTGACTTATGGGAAGTGGGATGGGATTGCAGTGCTGTCCAAAGTGTCAGGCTCCAGCAGAGCATCTTCCTGGGATGGAGTGGCAAAGGGCAGGGAGCAGAGGTGGCTGAATCCCGTGGGAGCACAGCGCCGGCGCTGGCAACAGGGGCTGCCTTTGACCCAGAGCTGGAAGGAGCTGGGGACCTTGTGGGCTTGGGGTTGGCTGGATGTATCCTATCCCTGCAAGGGAGGATTGGAGCTGAGCACTGCATGGAGTTTGTTTGTTTGTACTTGAACCAAGGGAAAGAAATCCCCTGGAGAGGAGCTGCAGGGGGAGGGTATAGACTGGGTATTGTTTCCTGAGGGGCTGGAGCAGCTCCAGGAGGCTCCTTCCGCTCCGCCAGGCAAATCGGACATAACGAGGCTTGTTTTAGGGGTGGTTGTTCCCCCTCCTCCTCTCCCCCATTGCCTAATTAGGGTTCCCAAGCTAAGCTCACCTCTGTCCTGTTCTGCTGCCACTGAGACACCTCCTCCTGGAAGGGCAGCACGTTCCAGCACCGTGGGGAACACAGAGCAGAGGCAGCTGTGACAGGGACACGTGCTGGGGATGCACAGAGGGGAGCTGGCATGGATCATGTGCTGAGCAAGGGGGTCCCATGGGCCCATTGTCCCCCAGTCTGGTAACAGGAGCTGTACAGGGATGTACTGCCCCTCACACCCTGCTTTTCCAGTATCCCTGGGTGCATACTGGGCTGTGGCATACCCTGGCCTGTGTGTGTGACCTTCCCTCGGCAGCCCCCCGCCTGCACAGCCAGAGGATCATGGTGTGAGGAGTCGATGCAGGGAGCAGGGAGCTCACAAAACTCCCACAGAAAAGCTGGTGCCAGGAGAGCCAGGATGGGCAGTGTGTGGTGTTTGTCCTGCACCTGTGGATGGGCTCATCCTCTCCAGGCCATGCCTGCAGGGGCACCTGCTTATCCACCCAGGAATTCACAAACACTCATCCTACACTCTTCCTTGGCCTCAGCAAGAGCCAGCGTGTGATGGAGCTGGCGGGAAGCTGTGGGGTGCAGGGAAGGGTTGGAGAATGCAGGGATATATCAGGGCACTGCACGGATTGCTAAACCCTGGAAATCCACCAGGAAACAGATGGAACACCTTCTCCCTGCCGCGAAAGGGGCCTGGCAGGTCTCCATGGGCAGCACAGGGGTGATGCTCCTGAGGCTGCAGGAGATGGGCAGCCCTGCTCCTCAGCCCCATCCTGCCAGGCCCTCTGCCTCCCCTCTTCCGGCCCAGCTACCATGAGAGAGAGGCTGTGACTGAAATCTTAATGCTACCAAGACCCAGCAATTGGCACCAATTAAATTGCTACATTCATGTTTGAATTGCTTTAACTGGCGAGACACACTGTCTTATTTATACAAAAAAATATGTTTGCTTGTGGGTTTGTCTGAACCGGTGCCAGCAGAAAATACACCATTTCAAGCCCTGCACTCTGCAAGCTCGTTCTCCCCTTCCAAACTGGAAGTCACCTTGGTTTCAGCCTTTGCCAAGCAATGGTGGCAGAACAGAAACTGCTTTCCTCGGGGCTGGGCTCTGCAGGCACCACGAGAGGGGTCCCCTCCTCTCTCCCCACAGGCAGCTGCCAAGTTTCCTTCTCCAGCCTGGGAGCTGTTTGGGAGAATATGGTCTGATTCAGGAGCAGGACTCAGTGCCCATTTAAAAGCTGCACTCAGCGGGAGAGCAGGGGGTGCTGGCAGCTGCTGGTGCCAAATCCTGCCTCAGCTTCTCCTCTGGAGGTTCTGACAGGTTCTGGGGGTAGGGGCTGTTTGCAGAGCATGGGTGCAGAGGGGAGCTGATTTCTGATTTGTGACTGAGAAGTTATAAAGAGCCCTGCATGCGGGTTGGCAAGAATGGCTTACACTGCCTGTGCAGACCAGCAGGAAATTATCCATCTCTGCAGTCCTGGTGCCAAGTGACACCATCCTGGTCCTCCTGCCCCACACATGAGCCTATGCAGGAGAGGACAGAATCAGCTCACAGCACCAAGAGCTGCACCAGAAGTTGCATTTTGCTCCCTCTCAGAAATCCAGAAGTAATAGGGCCAAACAAAAAACCCCTCTGAAAGCAGCCTCTGCCCTTCGCACCCAGCGCTGCTGGCTCCATCCTTTCCCACCCTGGCCGCAGTGCCAGGCTGCTCTCCAGTTCCTGCAGGTTGACAAAGGGTGCCCTGACCACAAAGATGGTGAGTGCCTAATCCCAGCCACGAGAGCCTAAAACCCCAGAACAAAGCAATTAAGTTTGGGTCCCTTGGAGGCAGCTGCGAGGAGCTGATGCATCCACAGAGATTATCTCTCCTCCGCAGATCC